CTTCGTAAATTGAGGTATAAACTAATTAGAAATACAAAGAATTAGTCTTAATTATTTGGATCTCCAGTTTATATTTATTTTTATTGGATATTTTAAAACTTACATTCTGTATTGAATTAGTAATATGACTATATTGTAATTAATGGAAAGTGATTAAAAAAAAATTTGTTAGTTAATATGAAGAGAAAGATGTAGATTTGATGAATATATTTGTTTCTATGTCCATTTAATTATAGAACATTGTCAAGTTCATCGCTAAGAAATAGAAGGAAATTTTAATCTTACTATTTATTTAATTATATATATATCTTTAAATTTCATTTGATACATAGATGATATTTGAAGTATAAACAAATTATCTCGTCAATTTATATACAGTTAAACTTCCAACAGAAAAAAGTTATTGTTGGATAGATTACATTTTAAAGCGAAGAAAAAGAGTACAAATCTGAATTATTTACAAATAAAGTTTTGTGCATAATTAAAAAAGATTTCTATGTTTCATTTTGTTTAGGAGATATGTAAAGTAGTAGACGGATAAACTTAATTAAGCATTTTGCTCAAATCTGGATAATTATTTTCTTAGTCAATGGAGTGTTCTATCGAACAAGACTTCTAAAGAAACGAAAACGATAGTTTTCAAGTTCCACAATCTATTTTTTTTAACAATGTCATTTTAAAGAGAGTAAAATGAGAGATCACCACATTTTCTATGACCTTACCTTGAAAACTTCAAAGTATCACAAAAACTGGAAAAAGGGTTTTTTGTAATATTTTCAGCTTTTTAAGCAAAGCTCGTAGGAAATTATAATAAATACATTGTTTTTAAATTTTTTTTCACGACCTTATATAAAGATTTTTCTACTTGAAAAAAATAGGATTTATCCAATATGTTTTATCAATTCAATGTTATACATGTCATGAATTAGATTATATTTGTTCTTTACCATTGGATTTTGATACTGATGATGAAAGTAATGAAAATAAAATAGATAGTTTAACTTATGA